CTTAATTTCCACAGTCACTTTAACTTAAACACACGCTATAATTCACAACGAACGATTCACGCGCTTTAGTTACTACAGCGCTTGACTAAATTGTCGTCTCTGTCTGTCTGCAATTATCTATCTATCTATATATATGCCGTCACATCTCGCCAGTCTTATATATACGAAATAGAGGGTGTCTGGAGAACACTCGAGCCTTCATGAACGAACATGATCTTTCTAGAATCTCATGACGTGTTACTAGCGTCACTTGACTTCTGCTGTCATAACAGTATAAATAAACTATATGTTATAAGTCTTGAAATTTACTTGTATATATAAATACAAGCTGAATTACCCGTCAGCTGACGAGGAATGTTTAAACTTAAAACAATGTATGTTTAACAGCAATTATATATTTCTATGTAATAACTTGAACATAAACTTTATCTCAAAACTTGAAAATTATAAAAAAAAGCTTCTTCATAAATTTGTGATAACTATTATTGTAAATTGTATTGTTTTGTGGATATAAAAATATATATTTGTGTTAAAAAAGAAACATTTTTGTGTGTATCAATCTTGTTGGCAAATATCATAAACTGACAATATATCGGCTTTTACTTAACTACTAAATTCAAAGTACAATTTAACTACTAAATTTAAATTTATCAATTAACTCAATTTCAGGCTATTCGAAATTCTAATACGTAACGCTTTTTACTTTTATCTGGTTACTTGTCTACAAACAATGATTTATAAACAAAAGTTTTCTTTCTAGTCTGAAACTTCTTCGATATCTTATCGAGAGTTTACTATGAGCGAGTTAATTACGAGTTGATGTAGATACGATTCGCTGGGAAGCTAGCTAACTTTGTCCTTTGCCACACACGCTGAGCTCTCCACGATGAATTTATGTGTTTTCGTAAAAATACTGATGCCCGATGATAATCCACTGAAGTTAAACGATTTTTAACGTTCGAAATTTATAAATATTCCTGATCAAATATCTAAAGTTTTCCGATTGATAAGCGTTATAAAAATCACAGTTATAGCTTTTGAAGATTATAGCAAACTACCAATAGACACTCGTTGGCGCATCTCGTTTGTTGTATTTATAGGCTTAGGAAAGTTTTCTAGAAAATTTAGATTACATAACAATACTGAGCTATATTTAAACGTTTACGTATATAGATATACATTGTTGATTCTTATTCTCTAGAATCTTCTACAACTTTGGAGAATAAGTGTGAGTTTCGCAATACTTATCTAACACTACAAGCTATGCATGTTTTTAAATATAAACTTAAACTAAACAACGTTCATATTAAAATAAATACATAACAACCAATTCATTACAAGAGGAAAAAGGGTAACTTATAAAAGTAATTCTTTACAGTCTATTTGTAAAAGTAGAGATGTAATAAATTAAACTGTCAAAATAAATATGTACAAATTTAACTACTAAAAATAAGCATATACATAATTAACCAGTAAAAAGTAAGAATGTTAACTTGTATAAGTAAACATGTATAAAACAAGGTACTAAAATTAATATTGTATAAAATCAATTGGTCCTAAACTAATCGTACTTAAAGTCAACTGTTGCAAATAACTTTGTTCAGAATAAACTGGTAAATAATGCTATAGGATCTTGAGAGTCAATTGGTAAAACATAAGAATGCAAAGCATAATTCAGCTGCTGAAAGATACGATGTACAAAGTTCACTTATAAAAATAAACATATATAAAGTCAACTTTTGAGAAGGTAAGATATATGAAACAACATGGTAACCGTGTACAAAGTAAACTGGTAAAAATAAGGATCTACAAAGCAAACTTGTGAAAACAAACATGTTCTAAGTCAAAGAAAAATAATGTAAAAAACAACTTGTAAAATGAAGCAGGCATATGCTCAAATAGTAAAAATGAGTATGCAGTATGTATGTCAACTTTATAAACTGAAGCATACTTAAAACCAATTTATGAAAAAAGTGTCAAAAGTCAAACGTTATAATGTACGAAGTCGTCTTGTAAAAGTAATTATGTTCTAACTCATTTTGTAAAAGTAAGCATGTTCAAAGTCTATTTGTAAAAGAAAGTGTATTGAAAGCCAACTTGTAAAATTAAACATGTATAAAGTAAACTGCTAAAAGTGATGATGTACAAAGCCAACGTTTCAAAATAAGTAAATTCTAAATAAACTTGTGATAATATGTTTCAGATATTAAATTGGCAAAAAGAGATGATATACAAAGTATACTTCTGACTGTTCGAACTGGTAAAACTAAGGTCAAGTAGTAAAAACAAGGAAGTATTAAATAAACTTATTTAGAATGAACATTATAAGTCAACTAGTAACGATGTAAAATATTGACTTCTGAAGAAAAAGAAAGTGCGATATCTGCTGATAAAAGTAAAAACACGTTAATGTATGAGGTGAATAAGTTGGTACAATGTCAAGTAATATATAGATGTAAAGATGTACTGTCTATCAAAAATATAACGGATATTGTGTTTTACAAATAAACGAAATAGTTGACTTTTTTATGGCAGGTGATAATGAACATAGGAAATACTGGAACATTTGATATTAATTTGTTGCCAATGTAATGGTAATAATTTTATAAGATATATTTTATTTTCTGTTCATAATATTACCTTTAAGCAGTTCAGAAAAATTGGCGATATTAAAAAAATTACCACATAATTATTCAAATGTTATAATTTAGTTGCTAAGCAAAATTTTATTCGTATGAAATATATAGCAAGATGTCTTGTTTGGGATGTATATATTTGTGATTTTCGTATACTGATGGTTTGATAGCTTGAAGCTCTACGCACAGACATATAGAGTTGATGAACTTATGAAACATAAATAGCGTTAAAGTAAAACTAGAAAACGGTCTCTAGTACGAACACCTATTAAAATACATCTACTGTTTCGGTAAAACCAAAATACTTCTATATTATATATGAGCCGCATGTAGCAGGAGAGACAGCATTTATTGGCAAGCAAAAAAGTGTATTTTATGTGGTTTTTAAACATTTCTAATCAATTTGTTGAATAATTTTACACAATGCAATTTAATTGTGTAGTATATACATATCCTCTTGCAAAACGATGTGTAACAAATCACTTAAAACATATAATACACACTTACCGTTCTAGCTGATCAGCTTGTGCATCAAGGCTATTTATATAACAAAGTTCCAAAATCTCAAACACTACTTAGGATCGCGACTACTACTTCGCTTTCGTTTGCTAACTTTTATTTTATCGTTTCGACAAAATAAAATATGCATTATCGAACGTATCAAAAAGTGGATTCTCTTAATTTTACGTAAATATTTATAACAAAGGTAGATG